AAATCTCAACTTAGCAATGAGTTTGAGATGAAGGACATGGGCGCTGCTAGAAAAATACTGGGTATGGAGATTAGAAGAGAGCGGGCGAATCGGTGATTGTTCTTGAGTCAGAAGGGCTACATAGAGCGGGTGATCGCGAGGTTCGGGATGCAAAGTGCAAAATCGGTGGTGACCCCATTGGCTCCACACTTTAGGCTTTCAGGTAAACAATCTCCCACTACAACGGAAGATAAGGCACACATGGAGCGTGTTCCTTATGCTAGTGCAGTTGGCAGTTTGATGTATGCCATGGTGTGTACACGCCCTGATATTTTACAGGCGGTTAGTGTGGTCAGCAGATTCATGGCGAATCTGGGAAAGGCGCACTGGGAAGCGGTGAAATGGGTCCTGAGGTACTTGAAAGGTACCGCGGATACGGGTCTGTGTTTTGGTGGAGATACGTGTCAGGTCGACGGGTATGTGGACTCAGATTATGCGGGCGATCTAGATAGACGGTGATCTACTACTGGTTATGTATTCAAGATACATGAAGCTCCAGTTAGTTGGCGATCGATGTTGCAGGCTACAGTGGCACTTTCTACAACAGAGGCCGAGTACATGGCTATGGCGGAGGGAGTGAAGGAAGCATTGTGGCTGTGGGGTCTTCTAGACGACTTAGGGATTGAGCAGGAAAGCGTGAACTTATGGTGCGATAATCAAAGTGCGATTCACTTGGCGAAGAATCAAGTTCACCATGCTCGTACCAAGCATATCGACGTCAGATATCATTTTGTGCGGGATGCAATAGAGGAAGGTGATATTTCTCTCATGAAGGTGCATACGAATGAGAATCCCGCAGACATGTTAACCAAGGTGGTCACAGGTAGCAAGTTCCAGCATTGCTTGGACTTGCTTCATATCAGCCCGTGTTGATATGCCCAAGAGGGCATGGCCCTTCGGGGCGTGCAGAACTACGGTTAGCTTGATCCCGATGGAGGGTACGTAGGCAGTCGCGGTATAGTGACGCAGCTGGTTTGGCCTGGTTCTGGCCTGGATCTCTCTGGTTAAGTTCGTGGGGGTTCTTCTGGTGTTCGTCCAAAATTTGAGGATTATCAAATGATGTACGAGGTGGAGAATTGTGATCATGGGAGGGGCTCACCCACGTGCGCGGGAATTTTCTCTCGCTGCAGCTCCCGAGCGCGGGAGTTTTCCCGCTGCAGCTCCCGAGCGCGGGAGATTTCCCGCTGCCAGCTCCCGAGCGCGGAAAAATTCCGCGCGATTTTTTTTCTTCTCCCGCCGTCCCAGTCCGCCAAAACCCTCAGTCTCCCCCTTTGGTTTCTCCTATAAATAGGAGAGGTGGTGGAGGTGTTTTTTGTGTGGGGAAAATTGTGGTAAAAACAATTGGTTGTGTAGAGTTCTTTTGAGAGAAGAGAAAGAGAGAGTTGAGAGAAAAACTTGTAAAGTTTGGTATTTTCCTCATAGTGAAACTCCCCTCCCGTGGACGTAGGCTAGTTTGCCGAACCACGTAAAAATATCGTGTTTGTATTTGTCTTATCTGTGAGTTGCCATAGCTTGTAGGTTCCCTCGAGATTTCTGTCCTTGAACTGATGAGAGGAAGAGTGTATATTTCACTTTGATGAAATATATCACTTTTGATTCTTGTTTCCTTTGAGAAATAAGAATTTCATTATCTATTCTCGTTTCCTTTGAGAAACAAGAATATAGAGGTTGACTTGTGCTTTTGTAACAACAATAGCCAGGGCTCTCTCTCAGGTGATATCGCTTCCGCGGCGGTGGGCGTGACTTTCCGCCCCAACACACACACTCTATATCACTTTTATTTTTTACTTCTCTTTGTCCACATACATTTAGAACCATCATTAGAATTTTTTTCTTACACAACTTCTTCGTGATATCGATATTGTGACTATTCTGTAACTTGATTGTGCATTTGTAATCTTAATACTATTTTCATAATACAACAAGTTTTTGGCATGTTGGTAGGGAATGTGCTTGTAATTATGATTTTTTTCAGCTTTTTGATTTGCATGTTTAATTGTGAAGGAACAATTTTGAAGGAGAAGATTGGAGATTAAAGATTGAAGATTTGCTTGAAAGGTAAGTCCACTTTCCAGTATTTTTAATTCTACACTTTAATTAGTTTCTCACAATTAAAGACAATTAGGAGCTAATAAAATAGTTTCTCTTGTTGACCCTAATAAAATCTACCCACCACTTGAATAACTACTAATAAGATAATAAATTCAAATAAGAACTCTCTCTCAAATTTATTTTATTATTAACCCTAATAAATTTATTTATTTTTTTTGCATTCTTCTATAGTTGTTTTTAATTTTTAGAGTTGCATTGTATATAGTTTGTAGGAATTCACTAAATTAATTTGAGTATTTTAATTTGAGCACTCGCTTAAAAATACTCTTAAGGGCAATACCCTCTAATTAATATGAGGTGAGAGATTTTATCATCCTTTTCTTAGCCATTAAATCATTAGTTTCTCACTATACATGCCCAAGCTTTCTAACATTCGTTAGACATTAACCACTAAGGACTCAAACTTATTAAGGAGCAAGAAATTCTTAAGTGAACCGGTTTAAGTTTACTTAAATCTGTTAAAGTCTAAGGTAAGATTTAGGGTTTGTGTAAAGCTCTCTCCAATAAAAGAATTACTTAATTAATCTTTGATCTCCCTCTAGTACTAATCTTACATGGCTAATTGACCGAGTAAACTATAATTTTTTTACTCAAGGAGCTGGTCCAGTTGATTATGTAAGTTTTACCCTAGAATTAGGGGTGATTGTTTCAAAGTGGTTGCTCTTGATTTATTTTAGAACACAAATGGGCATTCTCTGTAGAGGAGGTCGAGCTTTGATTGTATAAGCTATTCCTATTTCCAGTTTTGTATGAGGTTTTCTATAGGCAGCTATCAGATATACGTAAGGCTGCCATTGGGGAAGAAATGATTATCTGATCAAATATTTCCAAGCTTAATAACTGGAGATCGACTGTGGTTCAATTTTGTGGTTCATTAATTTAATATCATTCTGTGGTTTGGATAGCCCATTTGTACAGAGCAAATGAGAAAACCGTGAGACCAAAATAACAGTTTTAATTTGGATAGCCATAATAAATACAGTTGCATAGAAGCACAGCAGTACAATTTTACTAGTTTTTTTTTTCAGTTCTAAAGGTCTCATAAATGGGAAATTAATAATCTGAGTAGCTCGAGCTTGTGATTTGGGTTAATTGTCGGTATAAGCTTGTTTCTTTAGGCTCTGTTTGGCAAAACTAGCTGAAAGCTACGAGATTATAGCTAAAAGCTGTTAAGCTAGCTGAAAGCTGTGAAATTGTAGCTGAAAGCTGTTAGCTGTGTAGCTAGCTGATTGACTAGAGCTGTTTGGCAAAAGTAGCTGTACAACTAGCTTAAATTTGTTAAATGACTAAAAAAGACATGCAATATTATTGATATAAAATTAGAATTATTAGGGGCAAAAACGGAAGAAAAAAATTGGCAGCTCCTTCCCAAAGACAAACGCTACTTGAGATAGCTTTTCAAAAGCTACTTGCAAAAGACACAATCTCCAAAATAATCTCCTCATATTTTTTGTCACCAAACAGCTCTACTAGCTTATTGACCAAGTCAATAAGACACAAGCTCTTAGATAAGACACTTTTTTTGGTTGCCAAACAGTGCCTAAATCACTTGCTGTCAAGTGTAATGGTAAAGCGACTTATCCTATTTTCGTACTGAATGCGTGGGTTCTTCTTAATCTATGAGTTGCGTGCTTTCTTGCAGTGTGGTTCTTCAAGGTCGGTTGAACCGATCGAGGCATGGTGTCATGGCTCATGTTGGTCCTCAACGACGCTTGAGCAAAATATCTCTTCGTTGTTCATTATCTATGAGAAGAAGAAAATGCTTTTGTTCTGCTGTGCCCAATTTATTACTCTGGGAATTTGCTACTAGTTTTCTCTTTTGGTGTGTGTTCTCAACTGCAAGATTGTATTTTGCAATGGCTTAGAATTTTTTTTTACCAAGTTTTTTTATCAGCTGACGTTATATTTGTGAATCCAGTGCCGCAACATTTATAACATCTAAAAGCTCCGGCCGATAATTGTGCTATTTATCTAGCCATATGGTTTGGTTGTCTCTTATTTGTGGCAAAATAAGTGAAACTTTGATTAATGTTAAATTTTAATAGTTTCTCAATTATTTTAAATTGGTTTTATGGTTTAGAAGATCTGGTCGAATTAAATTATTTATTTTCCCTTAATGTGTTTCCTTGGTGCTGGATTTTTATTGTCATCGATGCTCCAACAAACAAGTTTTATAGAAGCACAACTAGAACTAGAAGCTTATCTCATAGTAAAAGTTGGTGATACAGAAAAACAAAAAAAAAATAGATAAAAATACGATAGTCTATCAATTGTATAAGAGAGAAAAATATGTAAAAACTTTTAGATTTTTACAATCTCTTCCCCATCTTAATGTTCCTGAGGTAACAAAAATTATACTACATTAACAAGTTTAAAAACCTCCTCTAGATCATTAGAATCAGTTCTTACAAGTACATTCATTGGTTCATCAAAATCTACACTAAAGCTAGAAGGTGCGTTGCGCGTGCCCTCCTAACTAGTAATTCTTAAAAAAAAATGTAAGAACATTGTTTCTCCTTGAAACCATTAACACACGGTTAGAAGGCACCGGCATACAATGCCCCGATGACATTCTGGCGCACGAGTCAGTGACTTGGAGAAGGTGGGAATTTAATCTTCGGATACCTAAGCTAGCCATTATTTTGATCGTCTAGCTTCTTGATCCATTCTCTCTACTTGGGCGTACTACAGGAAAATTTGGAAGTTAAAGTAGGATTTGGTGGGACACCCCCAAAAAGTCCCAAGGTATTTACGTGACAAACGCCCCCAAGATTTTAAGGGTTCTGTTGGAAATTTAGCCCTTACTTTAATAACAGTAGATGTCATGAACTAGTCTTAGTACCAAAAAAAAAAAAGGAAAAACAAATCGCCATCATTGATTTCCTTAAGAATCCAACACGTACTTGATCAAATCATACAACAGACAAAATGCACGCCAATCCATCTGGCTACTATAAATCTAAATATTACACTGGCGTCACCGTAAACGGAGAAAAGAAATATGAAATTCTAGCCAACACTTTTGAGTCCTCAAATAAACCCTCCAACACGCCATTTTGCCTCGCAAGCCATCTCCCAGGATCCATTACAGAGCTCTTTTTTCCATGTCATTTATTCTTAAGAGACCCCCATTAAGCAAATAAGTGCCAATGTTAATCTTATAATATCTCCATATAATTGGATCACACTTCTTCTAAGAGGAGATAACCCTATAAATACATCATAAATTAAATGAGACGTACAAGAAGGCAGGCTTCGGTAAATTAGCTTCTCTCTTCTACTGCAAAAACTCTCTTGGGTCTGTGACGTAACCCGTCAATGCCGATGCTGCAGCTGTATACGGTGAAGCCAAATATATTTGCCCTTCTTTATGCCCCATCCTTCCGGGAAAGTTCCTATTTGTCGTCGAGACACAAATCTGCACAATAGAAACCAATACATTTTCGTTGTATTAGCTTTTGTTTGATTCAGGGGGAAATCATATAGAGGGCTCCCTGTAGAAAATTACATAGAAAGGGTCATACAGAGGGCTCCGTGTAGAAACTTATATAGGGAGGAAAGAGTTCACATGTGTCCCCACGCCAATTTTAGAGGTGAGATTGGATTGATTTAAGGGTATGTTTCACAAAAGCCCCCTGAACTTTGGGGAGCTTTCCACCTAAAAGCTCCTGCAACTTGTTTCACTAAAATATCATGACCGAAGACGGTGACTTTAAGTTGTCATGTGTAAAGCACGAGAGATGTTTTGGACATTTCACCCTTTACGTACAGGTTATCATAGTCAGTAGTCTAGAAATTTTACCCTTCGTGTTAACGCAATCTATGTCAATTTCCAACAATTCAGCGGGTTTAGTATAATTTTGAAACTTCAGGAGGGTTTTCTAATGTTAAAAGTTTGCAATGAGAGGTGTGCGCAAAACGTCCCAAAGTTTAGGGGATGTCTGTGAACTTTACCCTTGATGCTGATTCAGTGTTCCATTTGTATTGATTTGGACAGACTTGAAACTTAGTATTAAGAGCACGTTTGGGCTTTGGAATATAATCTTGGATTAAGTGGATTATAATCCACAGTGTTTGGAAAATTTAGAGGATTATAATCTATTTTTTACTAGCAGCATGTTTGGTGAACGAGTGGATTATAACCCATCATTGATGTCAAAATGACAAAAAAGGACGTCTTAAATTTACCAAAAATTTAGGGCTTGGAATTTTGCGAAATGATGAGGGGCAGACATGTCTTTTATTTGGTCAAATCTTGTGGCTTATAACCCACAACCCCAGCTTATTTTTTGGTGGATAATAAACCAAAATAAGCCACTTGCCAAACATCCCAAAGTGGTTTATAATCCACTCTAGGCCTATAAGACACTTTGACCACTTGCCAAACATGCTCTTAGACACATGTAGACTCAGTATATAATCATGCTAGTTTTTACTATTGTCCAACATTTCATAGACGAGCAACCAACAACACCCACATAAGCTGCATAATAATCCTAAGATTATTTATCATCATCTTCTTACACTAAAATAGCTTACCTGAGGTTCGTTCATTCGGGCGTAAGTGTCTCGGGGCCCACCCAAACAAGCTCCACAGCTAGGACTTGTGGGAGTATCACAACCAGCTTCTTCAAATATTTGAGAGCAAGTCTTGCCCCCAGAACCTGGAACTGGGAGTGCATATATATCCATCCAAACCTTCAACAAGAATAGACCGTAACAGCTCAGTGAGTTTCTTGCTTATCTATTATGTCAACTTTAATAATTGGGGGAAAATATGTTACCTTTTGTGTGGCAGGCACAAGAAAAGTGGGAACTTTCACCTTTTTCCCCTGCTTAAAAGTATATTATAAGATAGATCAGAATTTGCCTAAATCAAACTTGTAGGTTAATAAGGCCATGTTGATTGAGGAAAAACTGGATGGTGATCCTATCTGAAAAAAATAATAGGTTACTGCATTATAACTAGTGATATCATTTTCACTGCATGAAATTATTGCAAATTTAGAACTGATTACACCATGAGAAATTATGTCTCAGCATATATTTCTAGAAGAAAAAAAAGACTGCAACCAAATAGTGTTCAACTTAAACTGATTGCAAATCATTTAAAGAGAACAGAAGCAGATGAACAAAAAAATCACAAACAAGACTTTCATAAAGTAAACTATATATGAAAACCAACTATTCTTAACATATGGAAAAGTTTTCATACATCCCATGCATTAAACTCATCTAGCTTTCGTTCATTAAGGATGTCAAGCCTCCTCCAGGAATTTGTAACCATTAATTAAGCGATACAATTTATGGTGTTCTGCTTGTAAGTCGTCTTCAGGACATTATCTATGACTCAAAAATGATTACATCTGTTGACATTTAAATAATTGATTTTCTCCAAATCAAACATTTCATGCCTGAATCACGGCTTTCTCTTTCTCAAGGAATTCTATGGTATTTCATTCACTTATTCATATCAATAAGCTTTCTTCCTTAATTAATAGGCTAGCTGAAAGGGCTCTTTTCGGCACTCCAGTTTATTAGCATCTTGGCAACCTCAGAAAATTGGCCTCCAACCTTACCTGCGTTCTTGATATGGAAATATTATTACATCCAAAGGATATCACTTGGTAGCTATTCTTTAAGCAACGCCAGACAATGTGACATGGTGTTCTGTCTAATATCAGATTTTAATTCAGCACAAACCAAAAAATCTTTTTTAGTACAAATAGATAGAATTTGATATTTACAAACAGAAGAAGATCCAATCGGTTTATTAGATACTATACGATGTCACATTGCCAATCTAAAAGGCGTGGAATAGTAAAGAAAAAAAAGGTGGAGAATTTGTTTGCTGGTCTATTATCTTACGAAATTGAACACCATTACATGTCAGGGTGATTTCATGTTCAATCACGAAAAACTAAGATCGTAGATTGACAAATTTTTACATAGTATATCATTGGCATCTACGTATCTTGATGCATAAATTAGAATTTTATGCAAAACAGCTTTAGTACTATAATTGAATGATAAACGTCAACAATTAAACTATACTGATCCTGCAACGTTACCAGTACACAATCTCCAGATCCAGAACTTACCGAAGCTAGAAAAACCCTTGCAACAGCAAGAAAATCCTCAGTCTTCCCACCAGTACATGAGCCTATATATACTCTATCAATTTTCACATCTTTGCATTCTCTTGCTAAAGCACGGTTATCAGGAGAATGTGGCTGAAACAACATAAGACAGTATTAAGAGCTTTCTACATGGTAGCAATCACGGAAAGCAATTATTTATCACTGAAAATAAACCCAAGAAATAATTAAATAGTAGTGATATCTTGCACACCTTTGCAACCAATGGTTCTAACTTGGAGACGTCAAACTTGTAATCACGAATAAATCTAAAGCATAAGAAGATAGCTCATCACTAGAACATAGATTAAGGTAGATGATATTTTATAGAAAAAATGATGATGGACAACAAATACAATGACATACAAGAACCAAACATCTATTAAAAAGCGTGCAACTATTTGGTTAGAGCATTTATTGTCAATCAAGATATGTCATCAGAAGTCAAGCAGGGAAGAAGTTCCAAGATTGCTCCAAAGATGTAAAAGGGTGTGTGCACATATAATTCTAGCATCTCGTGAAAGTCAGTTTCATAACTATATGTTGCTTGGGTTGGAAAAGAATCCAACAGACAGTCAATGCTGGCATAGACATCTCCCCTGTAAGACAATGTTGGAAACAAGAAAGAGGGCAATCTTTAAACATCAATGGAGCAAGCCTCAAGCCCTCAACTTATAATATCAATTTCCCTTTTTGGTTGGGAATCAAGCTGCCTAGGTTTTAAATATTGGATATCGAGGAAATATCAAATGGCCAAAATCCATATCAGACTGCGGATATCGGGAAAACATCGGGATATGCAGTAAATATCAAAGTGACACGTTGGATGATCTGAAAATGTAATATAATGTCCCAAAATATAATCTAAACATACTTAATGAAATTTTAAGTATACAAAAATGTAAATAATATATGTTTCAAATCACTACCAATAGTAGAAACTCAGAAAATAGCCGACTAGGATTTTGCTAAAAAACTTCATATGGCTAGAGTTTTTGCTGAAAAACATTAAAGAAATTTTGCATAACCATCCTGTGACAAACCATATAAAAGGATATATCGGGCAACATATGAGCTGATATATTAGACATGTCAGGAATATATCGCTCAAAGAGAGACATGGTTTTGACAAAATCCTTTCACCCCATATGGTAGATGTATAATACATAATGCCGCAGCTAAAAATTTTATTGATGCAATCCATATAAAAAAATTTAAAAGAAATTACAACATATACTATATCCTAGAAAACTGAATTATGTATACATCTTTAAGACCTATTGATCAAGTAAAATGAATGTTCCCCCCAATTCAGAAATGTTGACGACAACCAAAAGAGCCAAAATATTAGGCAGGAAATAGATTTGTCATCAAGGACATGTAAACCATGTTTCTAAAATGGGGCGGAAGGATTTTGGCAAAACCAATCTCTTTTTGCTTGTTTTCTCTTTGCACGGTGTTTAGACTCGGCCTTTTAATTTATTTTATTTTTCACAGTTTTGTGACTAAAATTGTTCTGTCAACTACACTCATGGAATAATAGCAAGATGATGTTTTATAGAATATTAGTGAGAATTAAAATAAACAGTGGTTCTGGATTATGCTCCTAAGCGCAACACCACAGAGATTTGTAGATAAAAAGAAATATAAAATCTATAGGTAAAGATAGAGAAATAAGGAATGCAGCAGAAGCCAAAAGCTTGAGATATCAGAAAAGAAAAAACTTTTCTTGTTAAAGCAACAAGGGTTGAAGGAGCTCTATCTGCAAATATAGAATTTTCAATTGCTCATAAAAACTTTATTTGCTTTATAACACATTTCCATTATTGTAATTGTCTCAGACAAAGTTATTGAAATGCAAAGAACGGTATCGTTTTTTCTTATTTGAAGGTACCTAAAATTGTTTCATTGGTGAGCTGCTTTCTGATTTATTTTGTGCTTGTCAAGGCTAAATTCCATAAACATGTGATAATAGGTACCTTTAAACTTGTCCAAAAGCCTAAGAGGCTAAAAGACTTCGACAACAAAAGCACACTATAATATGGTTGGCAGGTGAGATAATTTCCCACAATGGTCAAAAGATTGTCAAGATGATCCTTTCATCACAAGAAAAACCAAAATGTAGTCACCTTGATACAACACTACTAGGAATAACATCTTTTATTAGATAAATTAGGAAGTCCAAGCAGTGATATGGAATGCGCAAATACAAAATCACAATGACAGTTACCTGGCATCCTGATCACTGTAAACTGGTTCATAAGTCATGGACGTCTTATCCTGCACAATAAAAGTTAGCGTCAGGAAAATAATATCAAAAGCATACTAGAAAATATATAAGCAACAGTCAGCATGCAACAAAAGAAAGTATAACAGAAGTAAGGGCAACTGCATACCTCAAGGTACTTGAATGTAGTTGCGTCTGCAGGGACAACTCCATTTTTACCTCCGGCTTCCACAACCATGTTGCACAAGGTCATTCGCTCTTCCATCTTTCAAGCATAAAGCAATACATCAATTGATGACTTTAACACATTCCTAAAGGTAAGATTAGTATATTCCACTTACAGTTAAATTTTCAACAGTAGAGCCAATGAACTCCATGGATTTGTATGTTGCACCAGCAACAGTGATTTCACCAATAATCTACATGGAAAAGGTTGATATGGTATATTGTCAAGACCCTTAGATAAATTACTGGCTGTAGAAAACATATCCTAAAGTAAAAGTTTAAAGACTGTTACTGCAGAAAGTAACAGAATACGATACAGAATCCACCAAACTAACCTGCAAGATCAAATCCTTGGCAAGCAAATAATCAGGCATTTCTCCATCCAATATAAATCTCAAAGTAGGGGGAACCTGCAATTTTGAAGACCCAGAAATGGCAACTAAGTACAATTGATTGACAACTGCATGAGAGATTTATTACATAAGAGAACACTTCAAAAAAAATTAATTAATTTAGCCTGATCATAGATTGTTTTTGAATACCATTATCAGAATATCCAAATAAAATGCATGTTGCTTTCAGTTTGGTAGGTTAACTTTCCACAAATGTATGGAAGTGCGTATTCCGACTGTTCAGCTCCTCAGGGAAGATTAATCATATTATAAATAAACAGTTTGTGTATAGTTTGCAATAGATATACTGCATGTGCATATTTCAATTGTCAAAATACTTTGCAGAGAGAAGTTCACAGATAGATTGAAATACATGTGTTAAAAAACTTGGATGTAACCAATGTTATGAAAGCGCTAGGCGCCTCTAGGCACCGACATGGCACCTGGCACCTAATGCCAAGGCAGGGCCTAGGAGGATTTCTTTTTTGTTTAACTGGAGGTGGGTCTTGCTGAAGGCCGGAGGTGGTGGAAGTGTTCAAAGTTGATGGAGGAGACAGGAGGAGATTGGAGGACGTGGAGGCAGCATTGAAGGAAATCACAATCATGACATGGGTCGTGCAGTCTGCATAAGCGGCCTACTCACTGGGCGCCCTCAACACCTAAGCAGGCGGCCAAAGTACCGTCCAGTCCTAAGCAGGGGCCCAAACCGCTTTTAAAACATTGGATATAACTACACCGCGGACATGGAAATTTTAAATGTATGTGCATAGAACATGAATTATAAAATATGAAATAGGCCAAGATATGATATAACATCATCAAGAGACATAGCAACAAACCATAGACCTAAATCAGCACACCATATAAACCATGAAACAAACTTGGTTATAGGATGTCCAGAAGAGACAGAGCAAAGGCAGCTAAATAGGAATAGTGGCAACAAGCATCCCTTAACTGGTTGTTCTACTAATATCTATTGTTATTCAAATAATGTAAAACTTCATTCCCTCCTGGGATGACAGAATCTGGTCAACAACCCTTTGGTTCAAGATAAATATCTAACGTGCAAATTGCAAGTAGCATGAATGTAGGCTAAACACACATTTAGGTAGGCCACATTTGAGCCAAAAGAGTTCAAACATAGAAAGGGAACGGGCAAGAACTTTTAAATAAAAATTCTTTGTGAATAAAATACTGGTTGGCAAATCTTAGCATAAGATGAAATCAGTAGCCAGCCATGCACATAACTTTCTATAGACAGACGGTTCATTTCAAATAAATATATATCCTTTATGGATGGGAATGACTTATTTTTGGCTCTTGGCTTTATCCATGCCTCGTTGAATGCAATCCTGAGTCCCCTATAGGAAAATATATTTCCAATACTTTTACATAGTTTTTTCCACAATAAATATGTAAGAAAGGGACGATATCAGGTTGACGGCCGGGTTACTAAATTTGTGAAATTTTTCATAGAGCTCCATGCTCCAAGACCAACCACATTTAGATGAGAAACGGTTTCAAAGAAAACAACGATGATACCTGTTTCTGACACTGCAATCAACATAATAAAAAAATCCCTGACAAAAGTTCAGCAAATTAAGTGTATGTCATAGCTACACGCTAACCTTGAGCAGAAGTTTTCCCGTGCCCATGACGAAACCTGCATCAGTATTACCAATACCAGTAGCAAATTGGCCAAATGCTCCAGCGTTACAGGTGTGGGAATCTGTGCCAAGCAAAACCTAGGCACACACAGAGAGAATTTCGAATAAGATAACAGAACAAATAAAGTAACTTTAATAGTATGTAAATGCTTTTAAATAATATTCACCTCCCCAGGTCTGCAGTGCCCTTCTTGGGCAAGAGCAACATGGCAAACACCTTTATAGTCTGGATTGGCCTGCAAGCTCATGCAAAGAATTTTGTCATTTAGACCAAAGTAAGATGAGCTCAATCTTGTATATGAATTAAAACGGTATTCTAGTTAGTAGTTATGCTTTAAAAATCATTAACTACAAACAAAGAAAATAATACCTTGAAATTTCCAAGATCTTTGATGTCATAAAAGTACTTAATATTCTGTTCATTGCAGAAGTCCCTCAATATATCAACATTCCTATTAGCACGTTCATCGCTAGTAAAAATGTAATGATCAGGTATGATAACAATCTTCTCACGATTCCAAACCTGAAATAAGTAGAAGAAGGGCTCAACTACCTAAGTGGGGAAATACAATCAAACCGAACTCATAGAAATAGACAATCATCATATACAGGATGCAAATTTCAATTAAATTAAGTTCATTGGATAATAACATTTCTCTATTATAGAAACCCAAATTAGATTATTCGGGCACTGCAAAGTTGACTAGTAAATGAGCAAAGTGATACCATCATAACTGACAGAGCAAGGAGAAGTAGAGAAGGACTGAGACAGAAATAGATGAAAGCCATCGAGAACAAGAGAGAGACCGAGGAAATTTCCTTAACTGAATGGAAGAAATTTACTTATATTGCCGATTACAAAATTTTGGGATAAAAGTTTTTCCATATATCAGTTTACCATATTCCAAGCACGATACTTATTAAGTTTTGTAACATTTAAAGCCACAACAGCAACAACATAATGTAAGTGACGCACCGACCTTAGCGTTCTGCCCAAACTCCTTCTTGAAGATCCCAATTGTTCCCGGCCCACAAACATCATGGGTCATCAACACATCAATATTCACCCAAACATTGTCTCCGGGCTCCAAACTCGACCTCTCCGAAGCCCTCGCCAGGATCTTTTCAGTCATGGTCATAGCATGCTTCACCTAGAAAATGAAAATTGCAAAAATAACCATTATTCACACGCCCAATCAAATGGGTGCAAATTATTTTAAAGAAAGAAAACAAAGAAGAAAGAACCCAACTGAGCCGGTGGAAGCTGGAGATCGCCGAGGTTGCGTTGGTGCCATTACTGCAAGAGTTCTGCTTAAAGCTCGCCTTCGACCTTTATTTGCTTCTACCGGATTGCTTAATTCAATCTACGAAAGGAAGTTAATTTGTAACGCGTAGGAGAAAAGAAAGAAACAAAGGGGTTTTTAAAAAGCTGACCTTTTTGCCAAAAATAGTAGAGTTCAAAGCCATAATAGTACAAGCCATTGGCAGCAGCAAGATCACAACTTTATTTGATCTCTGAAAGGGTAAATCCCTCCGTCAGAGGAAGAAAGCAATGAATTTACGAAACTTACTAAACTAAGAGGGGAGGAGAGGTTGGCGCTTCGATCAGCTAGAGTTGTGGTTGCTTGATCCTGAGCCGCATGATTAATTCGGGTCCGGTCGGGTAAAACCCGATAATATTGCGAGAGTAGGTGGAGGAGAAGGGCACAACGGAGTAAAGGAAACAAGAAATTGCATTTTAGGGCATGCAAATAAAACCCAAAAAAAAATAGAAATTTACCTGCGCGTG